AAAAAAAAAAAAAACTGGAAACAACAGTCGATCATGCGCTCAGCAAAATACGGCGTGCTGATCAGTAACAGAAGCACGCAGGTACCGACCATTGCCAGTTTAGGACAAACTCAGACGAAGCGATCAGTGGTATTCTCGAAAAACTGGCTCACTGTAAATGCTTATTTTTGGTCTCAGCATCCGCTTATATTTGGTTTTGCTTTTGTTTAACGACTCATAGTCAAATGACAACAATTTGTAACAGATCGTACCTTTCTAGTTACCAGGGATACATTTACGTATACTTGAGAGTAAAATATTGTTGTTGTTATATATAACTGGATCCCGTTAGATAATCCAAGTTTGAATTTTATCTATCGAGTTAAGCGACCCAATTACCACTATCGACTCATAGCTTAAAGTCAACTATCGATTCTACTTGCTTTCCTCCCGACCTAGAGCTGTGTCGATTAGCTAAATTCATTTTACGACAATTCTGCCAAAACAAAATCATTTACAACACCCGAAAACATAGGTGCCATCAACTCCGTCTGCAAGATATCCGGAAGCCTTCCTTTTCAGTGCACCTGGTAAATTCAAATTAGCGGGTAAACTTAAGCAGTTCAGTGTTTCTCTAATTAGGCATGAAGGCGGCTGTTCTTCACAGTTGGGCGCACCCGTCGGGTAACTGCACAAATGCAGCGGATATGAAGATGGACGAATGGACCGGCAAAAGAGTTCGTGTGAGATGATGCCGGTTTGGCAACGAAGACAAACTGCGCGCTGTTGACCACCGGTAAATCTATAGGCAATATCAGTCACGTTTGATTTTTACTGAATCGGCTCAGTTGAAGTTTTGGCTAACTCTTTAATGGTTTAGATAGAGGAAATTAAAGTTCAGTGTATCGTTGGGCTTTATGTGTGGTGAAAAGGGAGGGCAAAGAACACAATCATTAGAGCACAGAATTTTTGGAATAAGCGGAAAAAAGGTGTAAGTTTTTAATTCTTTAGGTATTTTTTCTTTCCTTGCAGCTCAGATTACGACAGAGTTTTTGTCATTTCGGTAAACATGAACAGACCCGTTTTTCTTCCTATTCAATTTTTTTCTGCTGTATATTCGTTGCACATTTAGCGGTATCAGATGACACCGTACGATAAATACATTTTATTCATTTTTCCTGGCTCTTCCTCTCTATGGAGTGGTTCTTTTTCGTTTCTGATTCTTTTCCGTTTCTGTCAGCAGTTCAACAGAGTATGCATTTTGCTATATGATTATTACAGTTTATTGAATTATGTAAAAGTTTTTCACTTTTAATTATTATAATTGGAAGGTTTAAAGTGTACTTAGTTGAGACATTTTTTTAACTGTTTCAAAGTTTGTGGTAAAGAATCAATATTATTGGAACGTTTACATTGACCTTGTTTAAGGAGGGATTCAAAAAAAGAAAAAAGAAAGGAAATAAATTTTGGTATGTTTTAGAACTTAGTGTTCTATAATTACTATTATTGTTTCCTTTTTCTTTTCATTTTTATTCTTGACAAAATGACGCGTTGCTGAACGCTACTGAAAGTTTAGACGTTTTTAGGTTTTTTTTTGTTAGTATTGGTGGAAGTGTTTTAGAAGTGCTGTTTGTGTTACTACTTTAATTTTTTGTGACTCATTTCTATGGATGAAAATCAACAGCTGAGTTTTGCCCTGTTAAGTTCATTGTTTGTTCCCATTTCTTATCTTTCGACGTTTTTTTTTTTCTCCATTTTTTGCTTTGTTTTTCTTATTTTTTTCTTTTCTTTATGTTATTTATATCATTGCGCAAAATCTTAAGCCACAATTCATTGAAGTGGATACTTTTTTGCTTTTTTTTGGTCTCAGAAACGTAGCTCTTCTACAAAATATTCTGTCAAAAATACTCTCAATTTGCCGTGTTGCTACTGTTGTTTCTTTACTACTCATTATTTATCCTAGTTTCACTGGTTCACATTTATTGTATTTGTTTGAATTTATTTTTGTGGATCAT